TCAGCGGGTGTTCGACTGGATAGAGGTTCGTTTCTCCTGGGAACGGGGGGAGAGCTGGAGGTGAGGTGCTTCTTGGCCCTGGGGTGGGAAGTCACAGGAACGGAGACTTAGGGGCATTTGTTTCTCTTGCACAGGCCAATCTGAGTGAGCAGCAGACAGCATCCAACACGTTAGTTCGAGCCCTCATGACAGCTGTCTGCTATTCTGCAATTATCTGTAAGAGAAGCTGGGGCAGGGGTGGGCCCAACACAGAAATGGAAGGAAGGGTTTCATTCTTTGCCTCCTAGAGCTGAAGCAGGTTAAGGCTGTGTTATTCCACTTGTCCCTGCCTTCCTTTCTGTAGTTGAGACTCCTCTCCGAGTGGATGTTGCGGTGCTGAAAGCGCGAGCTCGACTGCTACAGAAGTACCTGTGTGATGAACAGAAGGAGCTACAAGCGCTCTATGCCCTCCAGGCCCTTGTAGTGACATTAGAGCAACCCCCCAGTAAGCCAGGTTGCGGGGGTAGGGGGGTGGGATGGAGGTCAGGGGCTGGCAGGAAGGGGTGGTCAGGGGAGGAGTTCAATCCAGGAAAGATGGGTAGTCACTAGAGAGCAAAGAAACAACCTAAGGGTTTGATTCCTTCGCCCTTTGCTTCCTTGCTTGTAAATGGAAGGAGGAGTTATTGTCAGGTTTGAAAGTTAATTGACTGCTTGCTTTGTGCCTAACCATTTGTTACATGACAGCTATGCAGAGATGGTAAACGTAGCACCTTTCAGATATTCTGTGTGCCCCTGTGCCTTGCACAAGGCTGAAATGGCTTACCTTAACTCCTTGTACTCTCTCAGCTGTTTAGGGTGGATGGTATTAACCCAGTTTTCACATCAGGAGACTGAGGCTCAGGTTAATATGTGAGGTTGGACATTCTGCAAGTGGGTATGTGTTGGGGCATTAGGGTAATCGTAGTGAGGGTGTTGAGCACGGTTCACGCGCTTACATGGAGCCAGTGGCCGTGTGAGTGATAGGGGTTGGAAGAGGGGTGTGAGAGCTGATGTGTGGGAGTTCACTAAGTGATGGGGGTGGGACTGTGTTTTAAGGCACCTTCTCAGGGGCCAGGACCTTGGTACAAGGACAGAGCTGCCAGAGGCAGGCCAGTGTGAGAGAACCCAGTGCCAGTCAAGAGTGAGGCCAGGGCAGATGCTATAAAGGGGCCTCAGAATTTGGTTTTAGGTGATTGGTGTTACTGAGAAGAATGGTTTGGAGCGGCATGAGAATGGCAAGATGGACACTAGTGGTTCCACTTTTCCCTGGTGACAGTGGAGGAGTGAGCAGATTCAAGAGATAGGAAGGGAAATAGCAGCTTTTAGCCACACTGACCTGGAGAGAGGGGCTGTGAGAAAGTAAAAATCAATCAGAAGTGAAGCTGGGCCTTCTAATCCCAGCACTCTGGGAGGCTGAGGCAGGAGGATTGAGTTCAAGGCCAGTTTAGGCAATTCAGGGAGACCCTCTATTCAAAATAAAAAGGGCTGGGGGGTGTAGCTCAGTGGTAGACCTGTCATGTGCAAGGCTCTGGATTTGATCCCAAGTTACACCCCCTGCCCCCAACAAAGTCATAGCTGACTTTCAGGATAGTTAGCAGGTGAGCCCTCAGGTGGGATAAGGAAGATGATCTAGGTAGGTTTGTAGTCTCTGAGTAGGGGGTCCAGATGTTAAGTGGACAGCTGGGTATCTAGATCTGTTTGGGGAGGAGGAAGTCGGGGCAGGAGGTAGCTTTGTGAGGTGCTGCACAGGGAACACACGCATAAGTTATACAAGCGACGGGACTGTGGAGTGTGGGCACTAGGACCCTAGCGAGCTGAAGGGAGTCAGGGAAGAGATGTGTGGGGAGGATAAGGCCCTGTGTCAGCAAAGGGAAGAGAAATCTTAGGATAGGAAAGTGGCTGGTAATGCTGGGTGCTGAGAGTTGGGTAGATCTGGAATACTAACATGGAGGCCGTCTGGCAGAACTATTTGGTAGGACGGGGGCAGGCACCAAGAAATACTCAATTGAGACAGGGAAGAAAGAAAAACAAGTGTAGACAAAATCTTTTTTATTTAACTTGGAGGTCCTGGTTTGGAAGGGGGCCTTCTGTGTGTGGCTATAAGAAACTTGGGCTTGAATATCTAGAGCAGAATGGGTAATCAGTTGCATGAGGTCCTCTGCATGGGTGTGTGCGGGATTTGGAGTGCAAGTGAAGGATCGGCTGCTGCCCCTGCTGTGGGATGGTAGGGTAGGGTGGGAGGCAGCTGTGTTCACAGGCGGTTTGGAGACTAGGGGTGGAATGCCCAGAGGAACATCCTACCTAGCATGCAGCTTTTGGACAGCCTCGACTCTTTTGCAGTGATGACGAACCTTTTAGAACTTTCAGTGATACAAACAGCACTGGGGCACACATGCCATAGGTTCAACACCACTGGCCTAGGATTTCTCCTGGGGTCTGGGCCTGAGATTCTGTGCTTTATACAGTTGGATGGGTCTGTCTCTCTTTCAGGAATGTAAGGTTTGGTTTGGAAGGACTGGCAGTACAGTATGGGGCTGGGAGAGGTTGTGTTCGTTTAGGGATTCTAGGGTTAGTACAGTGGCAGCCACCTGTGAGGGGGTTGTAAGGCAGGCGGTGCTGAGTTAGGTCTTGGAGATGTTCCCCAGGAAGGTGACAAGAGAAGGGAGGGTTTGGGAGATGTGTAGGAGGGAAGTGGAAAGGGGCTCAAGAATTTAGATTTTCAGCCAGGGATGTAGCTCAGCGGCATAGTGCCTGCCTGGCCACAGTAAGGTCCTGAGGTCAATTCCTGGTACCAAAAAAAAAAAAGAATTTAGATTTTCAGGGGCTAGTGGATTTTCCAGGTTTTACTTTTCCCATTTGTGAGTGATACATGTGGGATTTTTGTGAGTCCCCAAATTCAGGTGCACCTGTTGTGTGTAGTCAACCCCTATTAAATATCTCTTGAGTGGAGAAGTTTGAAGCTGCCAAGGTGAGTGGGGCAAGTTTGTAAGTTTTTTGATGGCCAAGTGACTCATGTCTGCATGCCAGTGTGTTGGATCATGCAGTTAGCATCTTGTCAGAGGCCAGGTTACTCCGGAATGGCCAGGCACAAATGTCAGCCTGGTTTAACAGTGGCCGTAGCGGGGAGAGGGGTCCCTGGGGAAGGTCTGATGTGGCTGGGTGGCCATTTTCCTCTGACTGCTTCCTGATGGTTTGCAGACCTGCTTCGGATGTTCTTCGATGCGCTGTATGATGAAGACGTGGTGAAGGAGGAAGCATTCTACAGCTGGGAGAGCAGCAAGGACCCCGCTGAGCAGCAGGGCAAGGGTGTGGCCCTTAAATCTGTCACAGCCTTCTTCAACTGGCTTCGGGAGGCTGAGGAGGAGGAGTCTGACCACAACTGAGGGCGGGTGGGGCTGGGGATTTGAGCCCCATGGACGCGCTGATGGCCCGGCCAGCCGCCTGGACTGCAGGGGGCGGCAGCGGCGGCGGTGGCAGCAGGTGCCTGTAGTGCGATGTGTCTGAGCTAATAAAGTGGCTGAAGAGGCAGGATGGCTTGGGGCTGCCTGGGGCCCCCTCCAAGATGCTGCCAGGTGTCCCTCCTCCCCTGGGGGCACAGAGATATATTATATATAAAGTCTTGGAATTTGGTGTGTCTTGAGGGGGGGGCACTACTGCCTGCCCCTGAGGTCCTTTTTTATTTTCTGAAAATCACTCTTGGGACTGCCGTCCTCGCTGCTGGGGGCATATGCCCCAGCCCCTGCACCACCCTGCTGCTGCCTGGGCAGGGGGAAGGGGGGCACGGTGCCTGTAATTATTAAACATGAATTCAATTAAGCTCACTGCCTCTGCTTTATGGCCTGCTCCCTTTGGAGAAGGGATAAGGATTGGTGGGCAGCTACCTTGCCTGAGCTGGCACTGTGGCGGCGCTCCTGTAACCGGCAGCCCTCTGCCTCTTCCCCTGTCCACAACGGGTCTGGAGAGCGCGGCCGGGGTGCTCAGTGGGGGCATGGTGAGGTGTCCTTGGCTTGGAGGGCTTGGACACTCCCTAGAGCCTGAGTGCTGGCCTGGAGAGTGTGATCCAGCCTGTTTTGAGGCTGGAGAAATCGCCTTTTTAGCCTCAAGGTGTCCCGCGTAAATGAAAGGGCTGGGAGCCGCCAGGTGTGCTGTCCCGTCTTGTGACTGCTCGGCCTAGGGAGTTTCTGCCTCGTGCGCCTTCAGGGCGCCCGCAGAGCCCGCGAGGCCGGGACGGCGATGGCGACTCAGCCCCAGGGTCCCCCTGCGTGGCCGTGACGTCGGGCTCGTCCCGCCCGCTGTGGGCGGGGACGCGGGCGGCCACGCCCACGCGCTGACGT